TCACTCAGTTGTGTCCGACTTTTTGCGACACCATGAACTGTAGCCCGCCAGACTCCTCTGTCCATGGAGTTCTCCTTGGCAAGAATACTGGAGTGGGTTGCCATTCCCTTCTTCAGGGACTCTTCCCGACCCAGGGATCGAACCCGGGTCTCCTGCATTGCAGGCAGATTCTTTACTTTCTGAGCCACCAGGGAAGCTGGCAGAACTATCGCCCCATTTGATAGATGAGGAAATCGAGGTTGGCCTGAGGCCTCAGAGCCAGCGGCAGGCCCAGCTGCAGCTCCAGCCGAGGCTGGCCAACAGCTCTGTGGAATGAAAGACTCTTTACTTAATCGATTTGCAGAGTTCACGCCCACCTCCCCATTTACGATCCCACCAAGACAGGCCTTCCTGTGTCCCAGTGCCCCCCTTCCACCTCCCTGGCCCTAGCTCGTCAGCTCAGGCCCTGCGCCCACACACAGCCTGTTGGTTGAGGATCAAATTTATTATTTTTAATTATTTTGATTTATCAAAGCAGCAGCTACAATCATTAAACCAACTTGGCTTCTTGGCATTGAACAGATACAGCTGCCGCCGGACTCCCCCACATTCTATAAAATGCCCAGGCTGTCCGTGTGCTCCCCAAGGAGGGCACCCAGGGGCCCTTCTCCAAGAACCCCGAATTTGAAGACCACCAGGCCTCCCCCGTGCCTGGCCAGAAGCAGACGCAAAGATGCCGAGGGCCAGAGAATGGGAAAGGAACATGCTGGGGCTGAGCTGCCAGGTGCTTTGGGAAATAGTCACCTCCATCCCCCAGCCCGGAGACCCTTCCAGAGTCTTGACCCACTGGGGAGTCACAAACCCCTCAGCTGGCATTTGTGGGGGCTATTATCACTAGTGGTAAGAATCCTGCCAATGCAGGAGATGTAAGAGATGTGGGTTCGATCCCTGGATCAGAAAGATCTCCTGGAGAAGGAAATGGCAACCCACTCCAGTATTCTTGGCTGGGAAATCTCATGGACAGGGGTGCCTGGTGACAGTCCATGGGGTTGCAAAGAGTTGGACATGACTGAGCACTGCTATTTGAATTTCTGAATATAATTATGTCTCAGGCCTGCAATGGGGCACTCAACAGAGAGGAACCAGACTGCTCCTCAGCCCTTGCCCACAGGAGGAATGATGGCCCCCTTTTTGCAAGGGAAGAAACTGAGATTCACAGAAGAGAAGTGATCTGCCCGGGGTGCACAGCTCATGAATACAGCCAGGCCGGAATCCAAACTGACTCCTTTTGAATGAAAAACCCTCACTCGACAAGAACTCTGCCTTCTCCTTAATCTGGGAGCAGTGCTACTGCCCAAGTTCCATGGTCAGTGGAAGAAGGTGGCAGAAGAGAGAGGACCTGAAGTTCAAGGTGATGGCCCTATGGGGCAGCAGCAACATAAAACCAATTGGTTCCCAAGAGATGCCCAAGCCCACACCAGGGCATGAGGAGGGGGTGGTCTACCTGAAGGGCACATGTAGGGGGTGGTGCACAGGTGAGCAGATGTACCACTCAGCCAGGGAGCCAGGCTATGCACTGGGGCAACCACTGTGCATCCGGGAGCCTGTGCACTGCAAGGCAAACCCAGCATTAGAACCAAATTTCTTGGCCCAACTTGGCACACAAAGAGCATGAGTGATTCTGGCAGGCCTGGAACAGGCATCCTCAGGGTTCCAAGGCCTACAGAACACACTGGAGTCACCCCTCTGCCTCTCACTGTTGTTTAGTTGCTAAGCTGTGTCTGACTCTTTTGCGACCCCATAGACTGTACCCCACCAGGCTCCTTTGTCCATGGGATTCTCCAGGCAAGAATACTGGAGTGGGTTGCCATTTCCTTCTCCAGGGGATCTTCCCGATCCTGGGATCAAAGCTGCGTCTCCTGCATTGCAGGCAGATTCTTTACCAAGGGCCACCAGGGAAGCCCTCTCTGCCCCTCAAAGGAAGGCGAATCTTGGGAACATGGGCAGGGCTTCCTGGTGGGGTGACAGGAGGCAGCAGTGCAGAGACAGAGTCTCCACACCAGTCCTCTGACTTCATGCCCAGGAACTACAGCTGGCTGCCACCAATTCAGGAAGCAGACTCCCACTTGTCCCCACGGCCCAGAGGACCCCCTCTCCCCAAGTACAGTGTGAAGAGCTTGGCTCTGGCTGCAAGTTCTGAACCCCAGTGGGTATCGAAGGGCATGTTATCTGGCTTCTCTGAGGTTGAGTTTCCTGGTTCATCAAATGTGTGCCCCTCTCAGAGAGAATCTGCCTGCCAATATATGAGATGCAAGAGACTCAGGTTAATTGCTGGGTCGGGAAGATCCTCTGGAGTAGGAAATGGCAACCTACTCCAATATTCTTGCTTGGAAAATTCCATGGAAAGAGGAGCCTGGTGGGGTACAGTCCCTGGGGTCGCAAAGAGTCAGACACGACTGAACACCACTCACTCACTCGCGGTGCTGCTCTCAGAGGGCCGTGGTGGGGATTCCAGGATACGATGAGCACAAAGCTCTTACAAAGCGTCTACACATTTTCTATGTGCAAAAAGTGGCGGCAATTGTCATCATCGTCGTCATCACCTAAACACCTCTCTATCCGGAGTACAGCACTTGGGTTTGTGCCTTTGGAGCTGGGATGGGAGAGAGCCCAGGGGGGCTCAGACATGTCTAGGAGAGGTCTTGCCCATCACCCTTGGCTACTGCAGCCAATGAGGACATAGGGTTTAAGGCAGGAGGAGAAACAGGATGACCCCTGGCAGTCACACTTGCCTATCAAAACCCTACATTCACACAGCTTTCCATGGGGACTCATGCCCTAATATGGGCCCAGCAGCTTTCTGGGTTATTTCGAGTGTGTGTGATAATGACTCCAGGCTTTGCGTCTGCTACCCCCAGACAAGTTTCCATCTGGGGAGAGGGATGACGGCTGGCAGAGAATGAGAAGTGCACAGGGAAGCCGAAGGTCAGAGAGGATGCAGAAAGAGGGCACTGACGGGTAAGTCAAGGGGAGAGGGAGAGCAGGAGGCTGCAGGAGTGGAGGGCTCAAGGTGAGATGGGAAGGACAGAGAGCTGGGCAAAGCCAGCCACAGCTCCGAGACACAGGTGGGCGCCGGACCCCTCCCAGCAGGACGGCAGTGGGGTCTGCAGCCTACCTCCTCACCAAAATGCCAGTGGGGACCCCTTCCATTCAGGGGTCAAGCTGGGCTCCTGGACAACCACTCGATGCCTTGGAGGGCCCCTGACTCTTGGGTTTATTCACATGTAAATGATCTTCTGTCCAAGCTGGGCCCATCAACCTCCAGGCTGCACAGGGTTAACTCCAGAGGAGGGGCTGGCTGGCTTTGCCTTCTCTCTACCTCAATTTCTACTGCTCCCATCACCTACCTCCCCCACCCCCTGATCTTAGGAAAAAAACCCATCAAAATAACTATTTTATGTCTCCAAATATGCAGATCATTTTCTTTAATGAAAGATGCTTGACGTCTCCGATCCAATTAATATGCAAATGCAGGAGAGGATTTATTTGTGACATTCTGTCTGGGTGAGAGAAAACAAAAAAGGCCTGTTAACCAAAACACTAATTGCTGTGACTGATTGTCACATATCATCATTTTCATAGGATCTCCTCCATTCCCAGCTCTCAGGGAGCTTGAAACCAGGACTCATCCACGAGGCATCAAGGAGAAACAGGGCAACCGGCTACCTGTGGGCGAGGCCCCTCCCACCAGAACTGTGTCTGGGGCCAACGAAGGCTGAGGCTCCGACTAGTTCTGGCCCCATGGGGGCGGTCCCAACCTTCTACAGAACTTGCCGGTACATCTTCCTTCCTGAAGCGCACTTCACCACTTAGATGCCTCAGCCCATATACCTTCCTGCCCTGCTCCAGGTCAACTGCTTTTTTGCCACTTGCTCCTACCCACTGGAAGGTGGAGGCCGGCCAGTGTTCCAAGGAGAGAAAGGCTATTAGGGTCCTGTTGGTTCCCGGCCTCCACTGCCTCTCTCTCGCTTCACCTGCTCTTTCACCTTGAGGTCCTTGCAGCACTTGTGGAGAGAAGTCACCTGGGGAAACTGACACAGGCGTGGCATCTTCTTCTTAAGGTGCCACATGGACATGGTTGAGCAAACTCTGGGAGACAGTGATGGAGGACAGGGAAGTCTGGCATTCTGCAGTCCATGGGGTCGCAAAGAGTCAGACATAACTGAGTGAACAACAACAAGGGACCCACTGCAACTGGCTGTCATGTCACCCCTTCTCCCCTGACTGCACTGAAGGGGGTGGGTCAGCTGTCACAGCCTCATCTCCCCTGAGCAGCTCTGACCCCTTGGTAGGACTATGAGGCCTCCTTTAGGGAGACCAGGGAGGAGAATGACTATTGATGGATATCCTTGTTTCCAAAGGCCACAGAGGGGGACTGGAAAAGACACATTTTGCTTAAGTTATCGGGTAAAGGACAACAGGGTTCTGGGTGCCACACAGTCCCACTCAAGGCCAAGGGGAAGAAGAAGATTCGCTAAAGCGGCTTCTTTCCCACACAGGGGCCAGCAGACAAGTGAAGACTGGAAGGCAAGACTCTGGGCTCCAATGGCTTAGAAGGCTGATCCCTGAGCACTCGAGCATAAACATTCTGGGCGTTCAAAGAAGGCCTCTCTTCCTTCCCGCTGCCCTGTGGGACTCCCCAGAGATTCTGAGGACACTGAAAACTGGGGGCCGGGGAACCAGTGTGGCAAGGCCGAGGAGCCATGGGGGTCCCAGAGCCCCTCTGTGGGTGTTGGGCCTCACCACAAGTGAGGGCTCTGCATCTTTCAGGAAAAGTCACTGGAGGTCAGCAAAGCAACAGTGATCTAGTGAACACCAATGCACACCAGCCCAGGGGTCAGAGGTCGCTCCCGGCAGGGCCACGGTGGTGGCAGGAAGGTGGCCACCTCCCACTGACCCCCATCTCAGCTGTCCCCATTTCCTGCCCTGGCCCAGCTGCTTCCCTCTGGCAACTCCGCCAGGGCCTCCAGGGAGAGCTGGCGCCAGGGCAGCACGGGGCAGACACTCTCCCCCCAAAAGGCCTGCCCCCGCACCCCGGGAACAGGCTCAACAGGATGCCATGCGGGGGAGCCTGGAAGCCTTCCGGGAAGAGCACAGCCCTGGCACCAGTCCCGCGGGAAGGAGGTGAGCCGGTCTGCTGCTTGGTCTGCCGCTCACCTGACTCGCGCCCACGACGGCTGAGCACCAATGGGGTGTGCGTGGGTGCAGACAGGAGGCAAGCATCATGGCGCCAGGGGCCCAAGGGGGAAGGGCGGGTGGCTGGGAAGTGGCAGCAAGTTGGCTGGTCAGCTGAATGGAGCTCAGCTGTAAGCGCCAGGTGTGAAGGCCCCACCCCCAGGGAGGGACCCGAAGAAAGGTCCTCGGGAACGCTGATCCTGTCTTAGGTGGCCCGGAAGCACCCATGTTCCCCAGCCTTCCCCACCACCATTAGCCAGTGAGAGCAGATGAGCCTCTCTCCTGCTTAGCTTGTGTCCACTTGCAGACACTCACAAGCACAACCTGAGGCACTAGGGTTCAGGGACCATTGATACGGTCTCACTGTGCTGAGTTTGAACCCCTTTAAAACCAACCCATCTGTACAGAAACCTCTCATAAAACAAAGGAGTAAGTGGCTGTCACTGTGAGCAGTCTATTTATTAAAGATGCCCGTCCCCTATCCCATGGCCTCTCACTTACCCTGGGAGCAGCACATGGCAACCCAGGCTACGGAAGGCGGGATGAGCAAGGTCTGGTTGGGTGAGACCAGCCTCCTAGCACCGGGCAGAGAGGCCCTGCTCTTATAGGGGCCCCTTCATGGCTAAGAGGAGGGGTCCCCAACCTTCTGGCCACAGGCCAGTACCTCCTGGCAGATCACCGGCGGCATGAGACTAAAGTGCATAGGACTTCCCTGGTGGCTCAGTAGTAAAGCATCCACCTGCCAATGCAGCAGACAGGGGTTGGATCCCTAATCCAGGAAGACCACACATTCTGAGGAGCACCTAAGCTCAGGGACCACAAGTACTGAACCTGTGCTCTAGAGCCCAGCAGCTGCAACTGCTGAAGCCCTCCTGCCCTAAAGCCCAGGCTCCGCAACAAGAGTAGCCATCACAATGAGAGGCCAGCACACCACAACTACAGAGTACTTCCCCACTCGCTGCTACTAGAGAAAAAGTCTGGGCAGCAAGAAGACCTAGCACCACCAAAAATAAAGATAAAATTGTTTAAAAAAAGAAAAAAGAAAGTGCACAATACATGTAATCCACCTGAATCATCCCGAAACCACTCTGCCCCTGGTCATGGAAAAATTTTCTTCCACAAAACCGGTTCCTGGTGCCCAAAAGGTTGGGGACCCCTGGCTTAGAGGGGACGCCTGGACCCCAGGGTATCATATTCTAGGCTCCCTACTCCATTTCATCTACCTTGGCTCTTCTTCCCTGTGGTACAGCTCCTCCAAGAACCAGATGCCAAGACAACACATCCCAGTGATGCATTTCCACCTACTTCCCTCCTGCAACCTGGCTGCTCTCATGGTCAGCTTGACTCTGGCCATCTCAGGTGGCACTGCTTCAGTGTTACCCACCCCAACCCCAAAGACCTCCTTTCCCCAGGTCCTGGGCTTCTCTCTGTGTCCAAATCACATCAGCCGGGGTCAGTCCCTAACTCACACCCAACATAGGATCTGCCCGAGTCTGTCAGTTCATTCTAGTTCTGGGTGGGGACAAAATCTAGAATCTGTTTCCCAAATCCAGGACCTTTGAGCTCTTTCTTCATGGGGCACTTTCAGAGAGGTAGAAGAATGCCCCCCACATCTTTGCAGAAAGGGGTGTAAGTCAGGCCACATCAGCTTTAAAAATACCCCAGCATACAATCCGCAGGGTTAGAGCAAAGGCCATGTGGCCAGAGCCGGACTATAAATAAGCAGCAAGTTGCTTCCCAGAGCCAGCCCCCTCCCCAGCACCAAGAACCTTTCTGAGGAAATCAAAGTGAACACAACTGTTACCAAGTCACTACTAAAATATTTACCAGCCTGGCGAGGTGCCGAAGGTGCTTGGCACCGAGTGTTTGCTTATTTACAAGGCTGCTTTAAAGGGTAGAAAGCAAAATAAGGTAACCTGAGCTATTAAACCGAGGGGGCCAGGTGGTACCTACCAGCTGTCAGCTGTCCCAGGCGCGTGGGGAGCTGGAACAGCCATTGGTGGAGATTCCCCTCAAAATGGGTCGGAAAAATGAAACAGACAGGCCTTGGAGCTCCAGAATACCCTAACCAGCTGGGGTGGGGTGAGGGCTTGGGCAGCGGGAGTGGGGAGAGTGTTACAAGTTAGAAGGGCTTCACCCGCAGCCCAGACCACGGGGTCCACACAAGACCCCAGGCTGCCCCTGGGCTTCTGCATCCTCACTCAGAGGGAACACCCGGGACACTGTCCTGTCCAGAGGTGGGGGCCTGCAGGAGGGAGAGGGGAGGCACAGAGGAAGGCAGACAGAGTGCCCCCACCCCCCCAGGATGACATCAGGGGACACACGCGACTGAAGACGAGAACTCACTCAAGGGTTCTTCTCGTCCTCTTCCTCCTCTTTCTTTGAAGTTCCCTTGTGGTTTGAATTTAATTTTGATTTTCTCAACTTTAGCAGATTGAAGTTGAAATAACCTACAAATTACTTAATGTGTTGTAAATCTGGGGGAATTCAGGAGTAATGGGGACCACATGTTGGTGGGAGGAAGCCCAGAGAGGGCTGAGGGGGGGCGGTGGCCTTCACAAGACACGCAGGTGGTCGTCCCAGGCTGGGACACTCATGCCCGTGCTCCCCTGGAAAGAGGCGGGGTGGGGGGGGCGCTTGGGCTCCCCCAGGGGAGCGGGGAGGATTCCCAAACTGGCCGGGGAGCGCTGGATGGACACAGCGAGAATGTGTTAAGACGGTGGACGGACCAAGTTGCCGCCTGGGGCCTCCCGGTGACCGCGGACAGGGGGCAGCCAAGTAGGCCGTGTGCCAGGCGCCTGCCAGGCCCCTCGGCCGCGCCAAGGCCGCCGCGCTGGCCCTGCTCCCCTCTGGCCTCGCGCTGCATGTGTGTGGCTGTCAGCTGAGCTCCTACCTCCCTTCTCCCCCCAGCCGCCCTCCCTCTTCAGCAGATTTCTCTCAAGTACTAAGCCATATGGTTCCAGTTAAGCTCCATATTTTTCCTTGTCGATTGAAGAGACACACTTTCCTCTTTGCCAGACAGTTTGCAGATTGCTCTGTTGGCTCAATTTCTTATTGGATTTCTCAAAAAACCTGACATTTTAAATTAATTTACAGCCACAACAAAAAGAGTTCAGAATTTTAATGGTGTTGTAAGTAATTTTTAGGTAATCCACTCCAGATTTTGATATTAACCTTTGAAACTGGAGTTCATTCAGCTACTATGTTACAATACCCAGTCAGATTCTAGGCCTGGGGGAGGCTGGGCTGGGGTAAGAGGCAGAAAGAGGTTTCTGGGGACCCCGTTCTGCCAGGAAACCCCCAAAGGGGTGACGCCTAGGGAATCCTGGATGGGCAAGTGACAGTGACATTGGGACAGGGAGAGGACTGTAAGGGGCCTGAAAGACAGCAGGGTGGGTGCTGGAGAGCAAATGGGAGGGGGTAGATGGGCCTATGGAGCATTCTAGAAGGGCCCGCTGGACTCATCAGTGGGCAGCAACCCCAGGGCCCTAAGGAGCAAGAGCAGGGCTCAGGGCATGCGTGAGGCTCCACCTCAGTGCACCAGAAAATAGTAACTATAACAATAATAATGATGACAGCTAACGTTTGCTGAGCGCTCACTGCATATCAATGCTTTACACTGACATGCTTTACACACATCATCTCACTGACACCTCCAAACTATGGGGGAGCCACTATCATCATGACCACTACCACTAATCACATTCATTGTTAACATTTATGGAGGGCTTTCCCCAACCCAGGCATTAAGTGGTAATGGAATACTATTCATAGCTTCACTTTACTGAGAAGGAACTGAGGCTTAGAGAGGTGAAGTCAGGTCTCACAATTTGGCTGCTGCTAGGATCCCATCTGCCCTGGCTCACCCCACACCTTGCTTCTCCTTTCACAAAAATGCTGCAAAATACTTTCCAGTAGTCATGTACGGACGTGAGAGTTGGACTGTAAAGAAGGCTGAGCACCACAGAATTGATGCTTTTGAATTGTGGTGCTGGAGAAGACTCTTGAGAGTCCCTTGGACTGCAATGGTTTTGAACTGTGGTGCTGGAGAAGACTCTTGAGAGTCCCTTGGACTGCAAGGAGATCAAACCAGTCAATCCTAAAGGAAATCAATCCTGAATATTCATTGAAAGGACTGATGCTGAAGTTGAAGCTCCAAAACTTTGGCCCCACCTGAGGAGAAGAGCCAACTCATTGGAAAAGACCCTGATGCTGGGAAAGATTGAGGGCAAGAGGAGAAGAGGGTGACAGAGGATGAGATGGTTGGATGACATCACCGACTCAATGGACAAGAGTCTGAGCAAACTCTCAGAGATTGCAGAGGACAGGGAAGGTCGGTGTGCTGCAGTCCATGGGGTTGCAAATTGTCGGACATGACTTAGCGACTGAGCAACAACAAAATATTTATTGCCATAGTTGTCCCTGGTCCTTCCGGCTGGAGGTGAAGGGAATGGGGGAGGAGGTATGGTCCCCTGGGCTGGCTGGGCTGGGGCCTGCAGAGCAGGCCACCCCCTCCCTGTGCTGCCTGGGGCTCGGCTGAAGGCCGCACGCCAATCCGGACAGAGGAAACTCTGGGCGTGGGGAGTGGAGGCCTCGCCAACGTCTTTACTAGGCTCTGGCACTCAGCGGCCCCTGCCTGGGTACAGTGCCAGCTTACTACACCAGTAGAGTGTTAGCATTCCTTTCCTGCAGGAGCTTCCCAGGGCACCCAGGAAAGGAGAAGCAGAGATGGGGCCCTGGCCAAGGCTGTCCCAGTCCCTGGAGGGTCCTCTCTCCAGCAGGGATCCAGAGGCCAGAGAGCCCGCTGGACAGGGCTGCCCTGAAAGCAGGGGCTGTCCTTGACCTTCTTGTCTTGGGGAAAAAGTGTTCCTGGGTTGAGTCAGCCCCTGCCAGACCCACTGAGATGTCACGTAAACAGTGCTGTATGGGGCCTGGGGCCAGCTTCCCTG